TAACATCTAGAGCATGCACAGACCAAATTTAATATGTTAGGGACTCTATCATGCATGTGAATAGGTTAAATAATCCTATTATTATCCAATAAATTGCTAAAACAATTTCAGAAGATTATTTAATGTTTCAGCAATTTAAATCCAAGCATTAACCATATAGTTGCAGGAAATTTAATAATTCAGCAACTAGCCTCTTAAGCATGCATAGATCAAAATTAATAATTAAATGACCTTATCATGCATTTGAATGCATTCTAAAACAAGTTTTATAAACACATTATATTCCATCAAATTACTGAAATTTAATTCAGCAATTAATTTATCTTCCATTTGTTAACAACATAGGAAGTGCCTTAATTTTTACACTGTTTGTCCCGACAATTTAAAATTAAACCTTAATCAATTTAAGGTCCTAATAGCACCCAAATTCAGCCTTCTAATCTCTCTGTGGAACCCCAGACCCAACAGATTAAATCCCATACTCCAATAGTAAAACACAGTACGTAGAAAACTAAAAAAAAAATTAAAACAAAACATAAAATGAAAAGGGAGCCTGCTCCAAATTTTGGGAGCAGGCTCTTTCAGCCTAGAGCCGGCTCTACTTGTTGTGGGAGCCAGCTCCCACTTCTATGGAGCCGGCTTTCACCTCCTTTGAGAGCCTTCAGTCCTCGGTACTTCGTTTCAGCTTTTGTGCTCCTTCTCCAGCTTATTCCTATCACTCTGTTAGTTTTTAAAACTAATCTTAGGTGTCATATTAATACCCAGTAGCATCCCAATGGCTTGATAACAACAATTAAAATCAATTACAGAGATTAAATTTGCTACCGAACTAACCCGCATTAGAAACAAAACTGAAACTCTAATTCTATTCCAACCTCTCTGTTCCTCTTCACAAACTGATTTTAGGAGTCTTATATCATCCCATTAACATCCCCAGGGTTTGTTTACAGAAGATAAAAGCAAGAATCGTAACTAAAATTTCAATAGATTTTAATATGCTTTAATGAACAGAACTGGGAGTAACAATACACGAACTGTAAACAGATTTGAATTCAATGCAAACAGATCATCAACAAGCATACATTAAACACATAAGTTTCAATTACTAATTAGTTAATCCCTAGAGACTATCTAGGTGCACAGAACACGAGCCAAAGGAAAAGAGGAAGATAAGAACTTGCCTGCAGTTTTGGACTCAAAACTTTGTCGTCGTCGTCCTAACTTCCGGCAACCACTGCAACACTGTCTAGCCTCCTATTACTTCTGTTCTTCCCTTTTCCTAAGCCAAATCTTGAAGCCTCGGTTGGAAACCTCATAAACTTGCTCTGCTCTCTCAAAACCTCACTTTGTAACTCTCTGTCTCTATGTTACGTGAGTAGGGGTTTTCCAACCCTTAATACAGATACAACTATGTATAAATAGGCGTAAAAATCCTAAAACCTAAGCTTTGTTTAATTCAGCCAGAGCCCTAATGTAAAACTCTAGTCAGTCGGCCCATATAGCAATCTAGGTTATAAGATACTCGGCTACATACGCGTAACCTCTTAAGGAACCCTACTATTTAAAATTAGACCAGTTAGTAATTTATTTTAATACAGTAACTGATACTAATTTAAACTATAATTTAATTTAATTAAAATATTTAAATAAACCAATTTACACATTAGAATGACCAACTAATCCAATTACAGAAAATACACATATAACTAAATACACAACCCAATTAAAGAAAATAAGAAACAATTAACGAAAATAAAATTCATAATTAAACAATTAAAATACTTAAACAATAAATGCCAACTAAATACATGTCACATAAAATTAATAAATAAAAATAATTAAACCAAATAATCACGCAAAAATACAATAAAATAATAAATAAATGCCGAGACTATCCTTTTAAAATTAGGGGTATTACAGGGGGGGAATAATCCGTGAGTTTCGCAATTCGATCCGATCCGTACAGGGGGGGGGGGGGGAATAATCCGTGAATTCATGAATCTGATCCGATCCATACGGATGGGATCGAATTGCGAAACTCACGGATTGGTGACGGATTCAAAAAAATCGAATCCGTAGCTCACAGATTGGATCATAGATTGGGCTATTAAACTTCTGATCTGTCCGTGATATATATATATATATATATATATATATATATATATATATATATATATATATATATATTCAAAAAATGTATTACTTAATTTAATTAGTTGATAATTATTTAATGGACTCTAAGAATGTATCAGTTAATGATTATTTAAATATATAAATTAATAGTAATAAATTGAAATTTTATCTATTGGGTTATGGTAAATAAATAAATAATATTAGACTATTTAGAAAAAACCCTAATTTGCGGATCCAATCCAATTCGATCTGTCATTCAACGGATCCGATCTGTCATTCAATGGATCCGATCTGATTCGGTCCATGAGATAACGGATCGGTGGCGGATTCTGATTTTTCCAATTCGTTGGGAACGTATCAGATTAGGATTGATGCCTAATCTGATCCGATCTGATCTGTGGCTACCCCTGAATTCTCCTCTACCTCCCAAAGTGAATGGTGAGGGTTCGAGTCTCCAAAAGAGCAAAGTGGACAAGTGAGTGGTGTGTGTAATGGATCGGTGGCAGATTAAGATTTTTTTAATTTGTTGGAAACGGATCAGATTAAGATTGACGCCTAATCCGATCCGATCCGTGGCCACTCCTAAATTCTCCCCTACTGGCCTTGTAAAATAAATAATGAAGGTTTGAGTTTCCAAAGAAATAAAGTGAGCGAGTAAGTGATATTCCATATGGGTCCGACCACCCTTAAATTCTCCTCTACCTTTTAAAATAAATAATGATGGTTCAAGTTTCCAAAGAAACAAAGTGAGCGAGTAAGTGATATTCCATATGGGTACGGCCGCTCTCGTAAAATTATTCGTTACTCTTCCTCCTTCAGTCTTAATGTATACAGCCTGCACTAATCTGCCATTAGGTTCACCAATTAGGGTCAGTCACAACTCACAAGTGGCTAGCGAAAACGATAAATTTGTTCACGAGGAACATGTTATCTTGAATTCACAAGGTAAGTGTTTTGAATTCACAAAACAGAAAGAGAATTCAGAAAAATCAGATATATTATTTGATAATTGAATCATTAAAAGGTTGATTATTCAATTTGCAGTACACATATTTATAATTAAAGAAATCCTAGTAGTAGAAGAAAACTAAAAACATAAAAAAAACCTAATAACAAAAAGAAAATAATTTTTCAAAAAAATTAAACTTTTTATAAAAAATATAAGAATAAAAAATAAAAAATCTAAATTATAAAAATTACTAAAACTTACTAACTGCATCACGTCAATTGATTCAAGAGGGAGGTGCCATCTTTAACCACTTTCCAATGGACCTGCCACGCATCAACTCCAACTTTAATACTATATTAGCAGGACTTCACATGCCCGCATGGGCTCTGTCGTATTGGGCTTGCGTTCGTTCGGTGGCGTTGAGTCGGTTCAAAGGGAGGTGCATTGCATTCATGCCATATGTAAACCACTTTCCAAATTCCAAGGGACCTGCCACGACACCAACTCCAACTTTTAACAAATTAGCAGACTTCGCATGGTTCTGTCGTCTTAGAGCTTGTGTCCTGTCGGTGGCGATTGAGTCGGTCACAAGTGGGGCTTGCATGCATGCATGCATGGTATCTATAGACCACTTTATTCCAAAGGACCTGCCACGCCAACAACCCCCTACTTTAGCATCTTAGCAGACTTCACATGGGCTGGCAGTGACAGTTGTGGCTCTGTCGTCTTGGAACTTTGTGTTCGTTCGGTGGCGTAAGTCGGTCACTAGTGGCTTCCATGCATTGGGTGCATATTCTAATCATTTCCAAGACTACAAAAAATAAATGAAGAAAAAAAAAAAAAAAAAACCATTAATTACCAGGACCTCCTCCTTTGAAAGCAATTCGAGTCTATCCAAACATATAGTCATATTTGACAAGACTTTATATGATATTGGCACGTTAAGTTACATTTATCAAAGTATTTAAATTATTTTAAAATGAAAAGAGTATTATATTAAGTAATAGATTATAATTAAGTTTATATAAGCATATGATATATTTAGTAATAAACTTGAACTCGTGATCTCTTTTTGAAAAGTATGAATCTAGTACAGTTAGTTAAGCCATTTGACCTTTTGATCATAAAATTATATTATAAGCTACAAATAACAAAATTATTTATATATACATTATATTGTAATTATCATTGCCTCAATCTTATATGAATGGAGTATGAAATATGCATCACAGATTGACAACATGTAATAAAACAAAAAATATCATATATAATACAAACGTACAATACACAAATATTATACTATTCTTTCGTATTATTTAATTTATTTATATAGTTATTGTATAGTATACTATGAATACGATGAGAATTTGATGGAAAAGAAGTATATTAAGATATTGATTTCATATTTAGTTGTACACACATGTACACAATCTATGAGACAGACAAACAAAAAACCAAACGATTAACACTTCCCATGGGAAATAATAACTTGAGACCTACTTTCAACTTTTGCTTCATATACTATTAGCTTTCATACATCAATTTCAATAAGATCTAACCTTTTATCTTGAATCAAATAAAACCATATAAGTTTAAATGTGTGAGTTTTTAATTTTAATTTTAATTTTTTCCTTCACTTAAATGGCTAAATTTTAATATGAATCATGTTTTTACATGCTAAATCTACAAGTTTTCTTTTGATCTACCCTGTTTTTTCAAGTTAATTTGAATTATGATAAACTAGTAAGTAATCGATCTATTATTTGTATAATTGTATAATGTTTCTCATCTACTCAGCATTGTTTTAGATATCACTGCATGTCAACAATCATTGCAGACTTAATTAACAACAATCAAAAACAAGGCTCAATTCATTTCTCAATTCTGATCCATCGAACCAGACCAGTGATAGTACATGTGATGGAACGAAACTTTCAAATCGATCATATTGACTCGATGAACCAATAAGTTCAATAACATAGATAAAAAGTCAAAATTTGACCCAGATTAAAACTTGTCTCTGAGAATACTACATTTGCATGGTAAATAAAGTTTACAAGAAGAGCAACAGGCAAAAAAATCCACCTTCAACGGCTTTCAAATGTGGTACCTGTTATTAAGAAAAATGGAAAATTAAGGATGTGCGGATTTTTGGAACCATAAATACTGATACTCCAAAAGATCTTGCACCTCTCTAGCCTCTATATAAATATATATTTATTGTGTCCACAGAGTTTCTCATGTCTTTAAACAAGGAATGACTTTTATTCAGGATGGTAACAAATAGAGAAAAATTACACTCCCAGAGGAAATAAAAAAGGGGGAAAAAAAAGTTACCAACTTGAATTTAAAATGAAAAAATCAACCAACCAGTTTTCACATACCGGCCCAGAGTGCTATATACGTTACAAGTACACATTTAAGCCAGCAGAAGCATATATATAGAGTCAGAGATATATATATACACACGCACTAGCTAGCAGTCGAACTCAAGTCAGATGGTTCACTCACTTTTGAAAAGCAGTGAGACTCAATTTCTAGCATGTTTGTGGTTGAGTAACTAAGACTTTCTGATACTAAAATTTAAGATAATCAAGCAGTAGATGCTTTTGGGCTAGGATATGATAGGCTATTAATCAAGAACTGAACAATAAGAAAATAAATATTTCATGTTCTTGCCTTTAAAATCATCTCTTAGTTTCAACACCCCTGGAATTTCATGCTTAAATGGTTACCACTTTGAGATTAACCAAAAAAAAGTTTACAACTTTAAAGCTACAAAAGAATGCATAAGGTTTACAATTTTTATTGTAGCTACAAAAGAATAAAGTAGATAATCCAATTCTAATAGAGCAGTACCTTGGTGATGGACAACAATTAAGACGGTTCAGGATGAAAAAGCCAAAGAAAAAAGGCAACTTCCATCGGGTTTCCTGAAAGAAAAATTGGAGGAAGAATTTGATTACGCAAACCCCGCTACCGTATGCACTTCTGATGATTCGCAACAGCAAAGTAACTGATAGCAACGACTCCCATTAGTATAAAAGTACAGAAAGTAAAAAAAGAAAAGAAAAAGGAAGTACATCAAATTAAAAAATAGAAAGCTCATTAACATGAAACAGAAGCAAAAGATAATTGAAGATTGACCTCTCTGTGCTAACTACATTGAACCCTGCAATGAGAGTCTCCTAAACCATTGCATACCATCACTACTGCTACACGAAACTGATGAGAGTGGCATAAAACATTGCATACCATCGCTACTACTACTCGAAGACTAATTTTTGTCCAATTCCAATTCCAAAGTGCCCATTCAATGCTCCCAAACACCACCTTCGCATATTCTATTTCAAAAGGATACTCCACTCGAAAGACATGAAAGAAAAATAAGTTACACCACCTTCCCATATTCTATTTCAAAAGGACATAAAAGAAAAATAAGTTGCTAGAGATACCTATGCTGGACGACAATGTCTTTAGTACTATGAGCTAGATCTAATTATAAGTACATACAACATTTTGAATTAACAAAAATGTACACTCCAAATACAATACACTTTCACATATATATACACGCATCTCGTTGCTTTTGTCATCTTAATAGTTTCATTGCTGGATACCTATACAGCCACACGTCCCATGCACGTTCCTTCACAAATACAGCACAACACAAAACTTATAATGAGATAACAATGTATTTTTTATTCTTAGTTGATACTCATACACTTCCCCTCAACAATTGTTTGTACCCTAGAGAATTCAAACCTTAGACCTATACAGCCACACGTCTCATGCATTGCTAAGGCAGTGAGATGAGTGTATATGTATGTGAAACTGTATTGTATTTGGAGTGTGTTTTAGATAACTAGTAATAAATAATAGTTTCATTATTCTCCTTCTCTCCCATGCATGTCTCTCTCTATTGAAATTATCCATACAGCACAATACCAAACTTAAAATGAGATAACAATGCATTTTTTTTCTGAACAAGACTGCGGCATCTAACACAGTCCCACATCCATTTCATTGAGTCCACGTTTGCGAACTAGGATACAATACACGGGCATTATTTCTTACACAAGAATACCTACCCTCATTTTTCTCTTATTTTCATTGTAACGTTTTTCAAGCATTGGTGTTGTAGCGTTTTTTAATGCACTTACATCTATTTTCAACATATTTATTTTATATTTTCAACACAAAATATATATATATATATGTATATTTAAAATTAAAAATAATAATGTTAAAAAGACATTTCAAACTTTTTTCAACACATTTATTTACATCACATTACAGCAGAGATTGATTACAACAAAAGATTGATTAGAAAAAAGGATCCAGACTTAACATACACCCACATGCCTCTATTAGAACTTAAACCTTAACATTCTATTTTGGAAAGTGTGAAAGTCCAAGTAGAAAGTAGTGTGTTTCACCCTTTCACTGCAACAAATAAGATCATTAATTTCTCAGGAAAAAAAAAATCTTTACAAAATGAAAATGAGAAAAATTTTAAGTTTGTTTTATGTATCTCCTTAGTTCCATTTGTTATAGAAAATTGTGTCACTAATACTCGCTAGAAAGTTTTAACTATAAAGATATGTCATCACGGTCACCTAAAACTGCGTCGCAAATTTTATATTATTGTGACAATCCATTAGCAATCATGATGGAAGCGATCTCTTTATTTTGTCACAATTAAATATCCATTTGTGACAATTCTCTTTAGCCATACTTTTTATTTGTAACTAGAAGTTTCAATTAACTACAATGTACTACTTGTGGCAACAATTGACAATTCTTTTTAGGTGTTGTAAATAATTTTTAATTTTGACATCAAAATTTCATTACCTATAATGTTCTGCTTGTGACACTATCAACTGTCACAAATGCCCCTTCTTTTTTCTTTCCCTTTCCAACTTTGTTCTCTACTATTTCTCTGTCCCAGAAGTTCCAAAGAATTTTAGTATATATAGAGTCATAAACAGAATGTGATGCACTCTTGCATATACAAGTATAGCAACAAGTCTGGGTGAGGGCTTACATATGGTTTTTCTCTTGGTTATTTTCAGTTGATCTGGTTGGTTCTGTTGTGCAGTAGTAGGAGTGTCTAGGCTGAGAAAGACGAGCAGGCCTATGTGATATTGTAGTTGAAGGTAGGTTTTTCTTGACAGTGTGAGGTGTGTTATGCTATCTGGTTCTGCTCATTGGGCATCATATCTGACAATCTGAACTTCTAGTTGCCCAACAAAGACACTGTGTGAGCGTATGCTGAGGTTGGTATGTGATAGATATACCTGGCAGTTGGGTAAAGATACTTGAATTCCCAAAACCAGCTGCAATCTCACGAGGATCACCATATTCCATGAACAAATTTTTTTTTTAAGAAATAGCAAAATAAAGAGAGAATAACCAATTGGATTCCCCCCCGCCGCCCCCCCTGAATAATAACCAACTGGATTTTTCAAGGCAAGAGTTGTAGATTGAGATGGTTTAACCAATTGGATCTAAGAATCAACAGAAAAGCTTTTAGCGAAGAAGAAGAAGAGGGCAGGTTAATGGCAGCTCACAGAGCATATGGTAATAAATGGGCCGTGATTGCTAGGCATTTCCCTGGTACTTGTATTCATATATAGTGTAAATGATTCAATATATGAATGAAATTGATGTTTTTATGTTCTTAGCAATAACAACACCAACACAACTAACCTTGACAAATTTGTAAGCCTGGGCAATTAGATAAAATTATTATTATTATTAGTTTTTAGACAAATCACTTCTAGTTTACTGTTAGTAACACCAACCCGAAGCCATGTTCTGCTGTTTCAGCTGCACTAGGACATTAGAAAGAAAACAAGTAATTCAATTCCAAGCAAAACTTATTATATCAAGAGCATAAATCAGACTAGCAGCTGCTGGGCCAAGGGCTCTGAAGAATGAGTGTGTTGATGCAAAATTATCATTAATGCTGCTAATCAATTCCATTCTGCAGCAAAACAGATATAGATTCTCAATTTCAGGAGAAAATTAGAATTATATACACAAACATGCACTGTATTGACTATATGACATGTACTTCCAGTGCAATAGTGGGAGTTACCAAAAATAAAAATATATATAATATACACATAAGCCGAGCCCAAATACCTTAAACACTGATTTTCTCTGGAAAGGTACAAGTGATGGCAAAAGAAAAACATACAAGACCAAGACATTTACACAGTAACACAACACTTGACTTCAATCGTTGAACAGTTAAAGATACAGAAAGCAATCCAGTTCCTTAGGAGGAGAAAATTGAGTCAAGCTGCTTAAGGGAAGAGAACTTCTAGGTATTTCTAAATATTATAATTGTATGGATCCAGACATCCCATGACAAGAGAAAAGAACTTCTAAAAAAAATTCATAGGCTTGTTACAAATATAGCTTAACTCAGAAATGCCAGATAAATTCTGCCAGAAGAAAAATTTTAATTTTTTTTTTTTTTTTTTTTTTTTTTTTTCATTAACAAGAAACACACTCACACACCCACTAGCCCCTCTTTGGGGGCGAGGAAGTACCACTAGGCTACACAGTCTTTGGAAGGCGAGGAAGTACCACTAGGCTACACAGTCTTTGGTCCAGCAGATATGTTTTGATTTATATATTTATGTCATACTCTTACCTTTCTCAAAAAAAAACACTTTATCATATAGCAGTTTGATGATTAAATTTACCTGCCACTGACTACTGATGTGTCCCCAGCAATGGTCGTGTCAGTTTATGTAGCAATCAACATTGTTTGCCTGAAATATTATGTACAGTGGTATTAATTAGGAAAATCAATTGCAACTTTTTTTATCATCAAAAGTAGAAATTGTTATTTTGTACTCGTGGAAAAAATTAATTAATTTGATCCTGAGGCTCAGAAATATATACAATACATCTCTATAGTATATAAATATACACAGATACTATGGTGGACTGAAATGCACTAAAATCTATGTTTCTTCTAAAATTGAAAGATACACTAAATATGGTGACTGGTCAAAACAAGAACTACAAAGAAGCAATCAAGAAATGTGCATCCAATCTCTGGCACCGGCATTACCAACCCTTGCGTGGTTTATAAAATTAAGCACTTTCACTACATAATGCTATTAAGAGAGGCAATGCTATAGAACAATTAACATACATAGAAAATTACCAACAAATTAACTCTAGGTCTTCAATGTTGATGCCATTGCATGTTCCTCTACAAAGGGTTTAAAAATGCAGTGCAGCCCTGCTGGTATTCTTTTGTTTTTTTTTCTGCCACCATTTCCAGTGGGTGGAGACAGAGATATGCAGAAATCTGCAGACCAGGATTGGAGGATTTGCACAATCGTGTGTGATCTTGTAACCATTTTTTCCCCTCTTTTTGTAGGTAACACATGATATTTTCAGTATTATTATGTGATAACAATTATTATGAAGATCATAATGTCACTAGAAATAGCACATACGGGTCCACACACGCACACCAAAAAAAACGTTTCAAGCATTATCCCAAACTGGCTCCTCGGCAAACCAAGAACACAAGCTGATACGGAAACTGGAAACTATGTTTACTCGGTTTCTTTCTCTATTGTAATAAATCAGTCTCAGCAAAACAAAACTACAAAATTTCTAACTAAAATCTAAGATATGGATTTAACACAATATATGATTTAAAATAGAGATAAAAATCTTTAACCTCTGCCAAATCAATAATATGACCAAACACGTGCATTTAGTTAGGTTCACCCATTCTGAATCTGGTATAAGGAAATCATGTATGGAATATTTACAATTTAACCAAAACAAAAAGTAGAGAATTTTATACAAGTTTATCAACGCCTAAAGAATTATAAGTAGTTTCAAATCTTCAAACACACTCTTCCCAGTTCAAAATTATGATTAAATACATTTAAATTGTTAGATATATTTGGTTTCCTAAGCAATTTGGAGAAGTTTTCTATTTCAATTTAAAACTATGATCAAATACATTTAAAATTGCTCACATTCTGAATGAAATGAACCAAACAGGAGAAAAATAGTGAGAAAAACACATACTGGTCCAAATATTGAATCAGCCAGAATGAAATTGCTCACAATATCTGGTCAGCTGCATAGAACTGTGTCAAAGCACAAATTACATTCAAGTACAAACAAAGTAAATAAATTGAGTATAGCACTCAAATTATTCAAAGAAACAGAAAATTAATCGCTATAAATTTAAACAACAGATTAAAATAAATCCAAGCCTTTATTTCATAATTGAGTATAGCACTTAAATTGATACAACAAGGACATTTCGATTATATGAGAATTGTAAAAATTTGACCAATGTTAATGCGTGATTAGATATCCAGATCGAAGCAAATCAGATTTACACCAGATCTAATATATTGGAATGTTCAAGCATTTGAAGAACAAGAGGTCGAAAAAAACTCATTAACTCACTATTTTTAGAGATAAAATTTGAGAATGAAGATTAATCATTATAGTAAAATGATAGGCCGTCAATCATAGGACATGGGTTCAAATCCTGGGAGCAGCCACTTGTGTAAATAATGCCAAAGGTTAGTGACACTTGCGACTCTACAATTGGAATGCCCTCTGTAGCTTTTAATGTTTTGATTTCACTTATATTACACCCAATTTCCTTTGCCTCAGGGAGAAAAAAAATAAAAATAAAAAATTGGGGAAGGCACGAAAAGAATAAGATTAGAAAACAGGAGGAGAAAATTAAGAACAATAGAAAGTTATACTTTCTAAGATCAGTTTACTAGTCAAAAGCAAGATTTCACAGGTTCGATGTTTTTCGTATCACAAAATGTTCTCCTATAGAAGTAAATTCCTAGGACCACACTGTTGTCCAAATAGACCAATAAAAAAAGTCCTCATGAAAGATGAGTAACATCAAAAGATCACCATTCACTATTTTAATCCTGGAATGGAAATTGACATCTGCGACTCTGACATTAATGCAGGATACATGACATGGATACCTCCCGTCAGAGGGAGGCAGGCAAGGGGTGGGGGTATCAATGCCCAAAATGGATTTTCGCATGCATGTTTTGCAATTGCATCCCAACTAAATAACGCTAATAACGCTATAAGATACACCTATACACATACGCTAAAGCTCAAATAATGCCATAATTTATGACGCGCCCTTATCACATAGCTCTTAAAAAGCAAGATCAATGCACATAATGCAAATGAAAATTTCAAAAGACTCCCCCAAAATGGTTTTTCAAAGTTTTTTGAAAAGAAAAAAGAAAAAGAAAAAAATCATCCTTTGTCACATACATTTGGAAGAAATTTCAATAACTTCAAGGTTCAGGAAACACTTCAACGTCCTCCATTAGACATCAATTTTACAATAAAACAGATTGAAGTTGTTAAGCCAGATTGTGTGATGTACAAGCTTAATAGAACCATGAAAGTATGAATCCAGCTACACCAGAAGGAAAAGTGCTTGCAAGAAAGAGGCGGTCCATAAACACAGCTGAAAGGACCGCTCTCTTCTTGCGCAACTCAAGCACAGGCAAAACTTATTAACCATGAAATTTGATCCCTAATGACTCTACAGCCTTTAATCATTAGTAAAACAGTTAGAGGCTTTACATACTATAACCCCTATCATTTTAGTTCATATATTGAATTGTTCAACTGTCTGGTCCAACAAGACAGTCTGTGAAGCCCAAAAAACATACGGAGTATAATTTATACCACAAAACTAAGTAAAAGGAGAAAAAAAATAATTATTTGATACAACAAACTAAATATAATTATGATGTAATTAAGTGAACTAAATGTTTTGGAAAATGGATATCTACACACCTGGGTTTGTCTTACAAAGGGTGGTTCCAAAACCCAAAAACCAGACCATTCACCGGTTCCAACCGTTTAACCATCCAGTCCAGGTTTGACAGATTAGTTTTAAATATTATATTGTTTGTTGTCCAATTAATAAACAAATGGAATATCTCACCTTCCTGGGGTATTATCTCTTTGTCTCGAGTTGCAAAGATCGAGACAACATAGCAACATCTTCCTTCTCTGAACCCACTGATGAAGAAAAGGCGTGCGTTTTGAGATAATTAAGATTCCAGTGCAATATATATGGCTTTAGATACACTGAACCAAATTCATGTCTGAATAGAGATTATCGGCTGGGATCACGTTGTGCTGAGATTCAGGAGAGTAGCTAAATTATCCATGAAGATTTTCCACACAAGTCATATCTTCGTCAAGTATGGAACTCCTACATGAGCGGAAAATTAGACAATGTGAAACGACAACATCAATTTGTAAAATTTAAAGGTATCTATCTCAGTAAAATCCAGGAAAATTTTGTACTATCAAGAAAACCAAAAGACTCCATTGAGTTACATACAGCCTTTAAAGCAAAAATCATGACGATAATAGGCCAATTGCAGAAAGTAGGAGCCTTTACCACATTTTATCGCATTGGATCAGTTTTAGGATTTTAAGTGATGACCACATTGTAATTTCCTGCTACAACAATTCAACAAAATGATAGTAGACCAAATTGTTGGACGAGGCTTTACTTAGATGATCAGAATAATTTGCAGTAATGGCTCCCTTTTCCTGTTATGACCGCAGTCAAAAATGATGGATTTGTGTGAAAAACAAATATAAATTTTAGTTGTCATGAAACATACAGGCATGCTCTTAACTATATGACAAGCTTATAAAGCATTCAATACTACATGATTTTCTACATACATCAATTCAAGTATATTAAACCCAGAAGTTACGCCTGTATACCAGAGCAAGAAAGGATGAAAATTCCAGACAAGAACTCCTGGACCATCATTATCTGTCAAAGGTAGGTTGGCAACTAGCAAACAAACTTGATCATGGATCATTGTTTTCCACAGAATTAGCAGCTTTCGCTATCCCTTCAATCAAAGAGAAATAGGTGCTGTCGTCTGGGGTAATGCCTTTGCTAACCATTTCTTTAAGGAGCTCTTCGGCATGATCTCCCTCTTGGTTTTTGCATAAGCCTCGGATAAGGGCATTGTAAGTGAGAAGGGTGGGATTGAAACCTATACTTAACATCTCATCTCGAAATCGAAAAGCATCTTTCATATCACCTTTCCTACTATATCCACTAATGAGGGTGTTATAACTGATGTGATCAGGTTTAATCCCCCTTCTCTTCATCTCATTAAGAAGTCCACGAGCTTCTTCGACTTTACCCTCCCTACAATGTCCTTGCATTAGAGTATTGTAGGTCACTTCATCAGGAGACACCTTCATTCTATCCATTTCCTTCAAAAGCAAAAGTGCACGTTCCATGTTACCATTCACACAGTGACCATCAATCAATGCATTGAACATAACAACATCTGGCAATACATGTCTTTTTAAAGCCTTCGCAAATAAGTCATCTGCTTCCTTCATTCTATTCCTCTTGTTCAAAACATTTATAAGGGATGTGTAAGTCACCCGTGTAGGCTGAATCCCTTTTCTTAGCATCTCATCGTGGAATTTAAAAGCTTTCTTTGCATTCCCAGACCTACAATACCCATTGATCAATATGTTATACGTAACAATATCAGGAGACATCCCCTTTTCTTCCAATTCTTTAATCATATCATCAACTTCTAATACCCTGTTTTCCAAAAATAATGCATGAATTAGCAAATTATAAGTGGATACAGTTGGCAATATACCCTTGCGGACCATCTCATCCCTATACCCAAAAGCCCTCTGTAAGTCACCCTTATTGCAATACCCATCAATCAAAGTGTTGTATGTCACAGCAGTAGGTAACAACCCATTTTCCTCCATTTTCTCAAAAAGTGCGGATGCCTCGTCAACTCTTCTCTCCTTAGACAACCCATTGATCAGTGAACCAAATGTGTATGAATCAGGCATGATCCCTTTAGCATTCATTGTCTCAAAAAACTTACGAGCACCTTCTAAGTTCCTCCTAGAACAATAACCATGAATTATAGTATTGTAAGTAATAACATTCGGTTCAAACCCCAAAACCTCCATTTGCACAATAAATTCCTTGGCCATCTTCAACTTCCCTTCTCTGCACAGCACATTAATCATTATATTAAACGTACACACTGTCGAATTAATCTCCAACCTAAACATCTCAGCATACAAGACCCATGCGGTCTCCAACCGATTCAACTTAAGAAACAAACTCAACATATCATTACAAGTTTCAATCTTGGGCAATATACCCTTATCTCTCATCATATAAAAGCACGTTAAAGCTTCATTGGCTCTCTTTAGTTCACAGAATGCCCTTACAAATAAGTCCAAAACAATCGAACTCGAAATACTTAGTCTCTCACGAACATCCACTAATTCATCGAAAATCTCTCTATTCGTTGCAATGCGATGTTTAATTACTTTGATTAAGAGTTGCAAGGCGGGTTTGGGCGATGGAAGGCGAGCGATGATAACGATGGCGAGACAATAGCATTTGATATCAAGACATTGAGGCTCAACTTGATCGATGAATGTGACAATAGGGTTAGGGTTTGTACGGAGGTTATAGAGGACATCTGAGATTAAGGCGGGAGTGAGGTTGGGTGAATTGTGTTTGATGAAATGCCACTGAGAGGAGAGTATTGAGTTTTGCAGAGAGCTTGGGGTGGTGATAGGTGGAATGTTTGTTTGTTCAGAGCAGGTTCGAGACAGAGAGGAGGCGTGTTGTTGCGCTGATTTAGAGAGAGAGAGTGAAGAAAAGAGTTGTGCAGGAGGCGACTGACCTTGACTTGTGGCGAAGAGCGCTGTGAGCTTGTGCTGTTTCTCTTCATTAACAAGCTTGTGAAGTTCGAATCTTCCAAGCTTCAAAGCTTTGTTGGTTTTCATGGTTTGGATCGTTCGGATTCTTAATCTGTTCCGCAGAGACACAGAGAGAGAGACACAGAGAGGTGTTCTGACTTCTGCAAAACAAATTTCTCATAAAAATGCATTTCGTGTTAAATTAGAGAATCCATTCTAGTAGGACTAGAAAGTGAGGCCCAAGATGCGGAAAAAACAAGTGAGGCGAAAAAAAAAAGTGAGGCCCAAGTCAATTATTAACTAAGCAAACTGACTAGGCTCGGCCCATCCTTCATTTTAGTGGTTTACTTGCTTTGTATTTAGCATCTATTCTTATACACTCCATCCTCTGTGTTTTTTTGGAAATTTAAGATAATAATTTTTATTATTATTTTATTATATTAGTATTGAATGAATTATCAAATTTACCTTTAGTGTGTCCACAAAACTTATTTTGAAACACATAAAAATAAGAAGGTATAGTATAATTTTATCTTATTTAATAAAGTATGACGTGGGAGTATACATTTATCATATACACAAAACACGTGCATTGTATTTGACACGACATACTTATCGTCAAAACAACTTTGAAAAAGTGATTTTCATATATTAGTTTCATTTTCTAGTGAAAAGTTTGATTATTCGATAGTTTTACGTAAGTTGTATAAGCAAATAGAAACGATAGCTTATGGTGAAATTCAAGGGCCCATTAAAACCCATAATTCAAAGCAACAATGACATATGGAATATATATATGACAAAAGCTTAAAAACAAATGTGACATTGCTCTAATTCTAGTTTTCCAGGCCTTTGAACGTAATAGTACTGTCACTGAAATTTACGTGAGACTATCTATGTCCCTTTCCGACATCAAAATCTTTGGTGATATATATTTTAATTAAGAAAAAATAAAAACAAAAAAAAACCATAGAGTGACCATTTGAAGATGATATATACTCTCAAAACGACAATCCCAGAAAATCGTTATTGGGCCCAGGCCTGGCCCACCACTTTCAAACAGATGATTTGGGTTGGGCCCAAATGGATTGATTTTAACAAATGCTAATTCTATATTTTAACCGGTTTATACTTGATGCATATCCAAAAACAATGGATTATAATGTTTATAGTTTATACTTTAGTCAAGGAAAATGTATTTTACGTAGATTAATTGCAATGGATTACAATCCGTTTAAAATTACATAAAAAAAATAAAAATGTAAAAATAAAGAATTATTATATGCTGTGGTAAAATTACAAAGTTCATTGTACATTTACATTTTGTTAAACAATCTCATTTTCTTTCCTTCCTTTCTCTCTCATTAACTCACACAAAGTTATACACATACATGCAAAATGTGTGCATATGATTATGCATATAAACATACGAAAATCATCGTAAGACAATAAACGAAAAGTATTGATACAATTTTGGAAAATGAGGATAAAAAATTAATTGAAGCATCCAATAATTGTTGTGTCCTCCTTTTTCGGAGGACCAATATATTTCATAGACGAATGTTGGACCACTTATAATCCTAAGATGTATTAAAATAGATTTCTAGGAAGATCCATTTTTAAAACATCTAATGATAAGAATTAATTAAGTCAAACTATTCCGTATGAGAAATAAGCGTAATGTATCGTTAATCAAATAAAAAAAGTAGGGACATTTGACTCAGTGGTCTATATTGACTTCACTCATAGTCTTAATTGAAAAAAAAAAAAAACCATTAGGTTGGGTACGATGTGCATAAGCTTTAATGTTATTGTGTTCTAAGAAATTTTTTTTTTTTTATTTTTGGTCGTCATTCAAAGGCACAAAGGCCTACAGCCAAGAAGGCAGTACAGAGATATAAAAGTCAAAACAAAAAAAGTATACAAATCTTAAAGCAAAGCAAATAAATGAAGAACATATTCTAAATTTGTGGAGGAAACCAGCCCGACACTCTGTAAACGAAACTATTATGGGAGAACGCAATAAACAGGAGATACCGAAGAGTCTGGCCATCAGCTCGGCAACCATTCCAAAATTACAACCACAAGGCGCTCTAACACCTAAGAAACTCGCACAAGATCAAATCAAGGAGAAAAAAATTAAATCGAAGCGAGAAAAACTAAAACCGATATAAACCAGAGATTTAGTCGGAAAAAATAATAGATCTGCCCATATAATTTGAAAACGAACCAAACATGAAACAGATTTAGTCGGAAAAAATAAAAATATATATATATAAAATACTCATAGAACACATTTATTGAAACATACCAAATTTATTACGGTCGCGTGAGAGGCGAGTTTCATCTCCTTACCCCATGGAAGGGAGCAAGTAGACAGAGTGGAGAAGACAAAGCTGCTAGAGAGAGAAACTTAGAGAAAGTTGGGGCGGCTGCCTTCTAGGAAGTTACTGACAGGTTATTTTCATTCTTACAATAAATTTGTCTATTTGTTGCCTAGGCATAAAGTACCGATAACGGACCATTAATGGTGTAGGACCTAAGTTTGAGTCTGTGATTCAACGGGGACCATGTTGCAAGAGCATGTCAGACCTTCTCAACCCTCCACGTGAACACAAACTTTGGTCAGATTCCCATCGTATGGGTCAGTAAATTTACAGAAAAGCAGTCAGACTTATGTTTCCTGCATCTCAAATTAAGTATCGTCTCTGAAACTATGACTCACAATAATAAAAATTTATTTTGTACCGAAGGGAATATGATTTAACCCATCAATAGAAACATTTAAAGGGCTATTTGGCCATCTCGAGAATCAACAAAAACAACAAATTGGCTGATGGTATATACTAGGATGAAAGTGACATTAAGCCTCTTTAAAGTCTACAAACAATAGCCCCGATTGAATTCTGGACTGATATTTTTGTGACTGATCACTCTACCCGTGACTTTATTCGATGGACATAATTCAACTCAATCCACACTCCACGGTATCAACGCATAAAATGTTATAAAATAGCAAAATTTTGTCTCATACATTGTGATAATGAATGTTAGAGAATGAGACAAATAAATTAGAACAAAACAAAAAAGGTAGCACGCAAAATTGTAACAAGGGATCTGTGTGCCCACAATAGTGTACATCATCCTACTAAACCAAACATAAAATGGTCCCTAGAGTTGTGTGTGGTGTGTATAAAAGGCTATTAAGCGGTGGATAGAGATAGTAGTGGAAATAATAGGCCTCTACAGTTGATGGAATTATAATTTAGAGGATTGGTTCTGAAAATGGCTGATAGAAATAAAAGGATTTTATTTGATTAAATGGTTTACAGCCCACATTTTTGGAAAATCATCTTTAAGAGAATTGATTGATCAGTTTTCCATTCTGAGAGCCCATTTGTAAGTGGACCCTTCTGAATCAAGCACGCTAAGGACTAAGTGGAATATAACCCAGTCCACAAGGAATTTGAATTTTTTTTTTTGGAGGGTTTTTAGTAAATTGGTTACTTTTTTTGTCGCATAAAAATAATAAAAAAATAACAATAATACAACTATTTGAGGCCAACACACACTTGACACAACTGATGAGCTTACAGCTTCAAACCTTGATCTAATCTGATTCGTAAAAGTTGATTCAGTTTTTTTAAGAATATCAATTCAGTTACAGATTAAAAGTAGTAAAATAATGGGGTCCAATCCAAAATGATCCATTATATATATACATATATACATATACACACACATTAATGCTTTGTATGATTAGCTGTCAACCTGATTATAACTTAATTCTACAAAAATTGAATTTTGATGCTTCAGTCCAATTCAATTTTAATTTTTTTTTAAATGAACTTTTGAGATCAAATTGATAAATAAATCGAAAAAAAAAAAAAAAACCCTTGACTTTTAGCTATTTTCAATAAACTATCTGAGTGAGGTAAAAGAGTTAATATTTGAATCAAAACGTCCTTTTATTTAAATCTTAATTCTCTCAAATTTCAAAAATTCATATCTCACAAAACGTAAATTTAAAAATTGTAAATAATATATGCACGGAAAGTTTATGAAATAAGGATTCCAGAAATATAAGATTTGTGCAACAAGCCTTCATAACTAGAGAGAAATAAGCAATCTAAACATCTACTCCAACAATCTTATTTTATTTTTAAATACTCGAGATATTTGCAAGAAAATTTTCAGAATTATTCATTTACATGTGGAACCGAATATATAAAAAATTTAGCCTCAATAGAGATCGATTCAATGAGATATCATATTTTGCGTCAAAATATTTTCATTCTTTTATAGCCTCGCCATTTAAAAAAAATCAAAATGAATATTCGATCTCTATTGGGGCTATTTTTTTTATATTTTATACTCCATATGAAAATGAATAAAATAAGATTATTACAGTAGATTTTTAGATTGTCTATTTTTTTGTGGTTATGAAATTTTGTTAAATAAATCTTATATTTATAAGTTTTCCGTGCATATATTATTTGCAATATTTGGATGTACGGTTTGTAAGATATGAATTTTTGAAATTCGAAAAAATTAAGATTTAAATAAAAATGAATTTTGGTCTTAGACTCCATTTGTTTGGATGTGAAATATTTTTCAGAAAATATTTTTTTATTTTTTGGTATTTGTTTGTCGTAAAATATTTACAAAGAAAAAAAATATTAAAATTTAACAAAAATAACTTTACATTAATTTTCGACAAGTTATTTTACATGTCTCGCCGATGGATTCTACTTCAATCTCGACCTAGACTTTTGCCAAATACCAACAAAGTAAAAATAAAAGAATATTTTACTTGAAAAAGAAAAATATTTTTTAAAAAAATTATTTTACGTCGAAATAGACGGAACTTAAATATCAACTCTTTTATCCCCTTAGATAGTTGAGGGGTTTTTTTGATAAAAAAATTAGACAGAGAATTTATTAGAAGAGGTTACAAGTTGAGAATGTTCTTTGGTAAAGAATTAGACGAAAATTTACTAAAAAAAGACTACACTCCATTTACAACCCTAATTCAAATTTTATTATGCATTTACAACCCTAATTCAAATTTAATTATGACATTATATTTACTGTTTTAGTAAAGGGGAACATGCGGAGTAAAAGCAACTTTGGTCCATGAGAGTCACAATCACAATCACATTATTACAAT